GAGTTGCAATCCAAAAACACCAGAAGGGCTGACTCATAGCATTAATGTGTTCATACAGGTAGAAAAGGAGCATAGGAATATGAAGGGTAAAAAATGCAATAATCCTCCACCCTTTAATTGTACAAGAGTACTTCTCTGTGTAGTCAGCAACAGCTTATATGGGAAGAGGATTTGTTCAAGACCCTTTTATTCGTGACTGAAGCAAAGATGGCACCTGACTCCATGTCTAGACTGACAGCTAATACTTCAACATTGTCACTGGGAAAGGTCTTTGCACTACACCTGAGGGCAGCAGGATAGTTTTAGCAGGCTGAGGACAAGCTATGAAGTTCTCTCAGCTTTTCTATGTCCTCTAATGGAGGGAAGTGGCTATGGAGACACCATTGCCCCTCAGCAGCTGCTGCCTGAGGTAACTGCCTCAATCTGGATGCATGAACTGCTGTGTATTCAATATGATACTGCCTATGTGGGGCATTTTTAATATTACTGAATGTAGGTAGACTTGGATGTGACATTTGAGTTTCTTTGTGGAAGGAAGGAAAAGGAATACTCCCTCTCTGGTCACAATCCACCATTTCCCACAGCCTGATGGGACTGCAGATGTGATTTCCTAAATAGACTTATTGTCAGCATCTTGCACACATCCCCAGTTATGAATACTGTATGCAGTAACAAGGGCATTTTACAATGTCCTTTAGCAAAGCACCCAAAATATTTTTCACAGAGGGTGTGGTAAATATTTCATTCCGGTCAGACCTGGTTGACTTCTCAGTTGAAAAACTTGAAATGCCTCTTAGTTTTGCTTCAGGTGGAACAAAGCACCACAGCTGGTGTTCATTCTCTTCCACAGACAATAGAGAGGTGTTTCATGTTACCTTGCCTCACAGCAGGGCTTTCTTGACAGGGAAATAGCAAGCTCAGTTTTTTGTTGTTAAAATGTTTGCTGCCCTTGAAAAATTTGGGAGGGGGGACAATTCTCTGTGTTATGACTTTCTGGTGGGGATATGACTGTTGAAGTCGTTTAGAAGATTAAATGGCTGCAACAGACATATCTCCACCACAAGTCATAACAAAAAGAATTGTCCTGCAAACTTGGATCCACATGGTATACTGGTTTCACAAGGGTTCAAATCCCAACTTGGCCATGGAAGCCCACTGTGTGCCTGTGAGCAAGTCATAGGATGTTATCACACGCGGGTCTCAAAGCGGCAAGAAAGCTGTATGGAATCAATCCAGAACTATACCGGTATAGACCCCACAAGACGGAAATTGCTATCAGACGCAACTAGCATCATTCCGCAATGAACGAAAGCAGCATCATTGCGGTATCATTCTGGTCGCGCAAATGTAATTCCCCAGGAAACCGGCATTCAAAAGAATGGGGATGATGTCGCATTGGGACGGGGATGGGACGGGGTTCTCTGTGACGTCATGTGAACACACGGGGAAAAAACCGCAATGGGACGGGGATGGGACGGGGTTCTGTCTGCTTTAGACCCCGTGTGATAACGTCCATACTCTCTCAGCTTCAGAGGAAGGCAAAGGCAAACGCCCTGTGAACAAATCTTGCCAAGAACACCCTGTGGTAGGTTTGCCTTAGGGTCATCATAAGAAACAACTGGAAGGCTCACGGCAACCAAGTCATTTAGATCAGTGCTATTTTTATTGTGCTTCAGGTCAGGCCATCAGCTTTTGGTGAGAGATCTTCAGCCAAAGATTAAGACTACAAGCTTTAATGAGGCTGGTTGGCTGAAGTAACCTGATGTTGTACTTTCAATTAATTGGTCACAGTATTAATATTATGACTATTGTCAATGAAGGCTAATGCATGTTTACCTGGCAGGTAAGACCTATTGAGTTCAATGAGTTACCTAGGTATGCATGGCCTCTCAATTTTAGCTCTCATTTAAATAAAGGAATCATTTTATAATCTATTTCTGGTAGATGCATGGATACACACACACATACAACATTCAGCATTACTTTAAAGAATATCTGAAGGCTAAAGTAAAATCTTTTATTTGGCATTTTAATTACAGCTGCAGCTAT